ATGGATTGTTTAAGTTTAGAGTTTGGAGTTAGAGATATTAATATTTGTTTACTTGTAGTTGAATGTTAGCCTAGGTTTGGTTTGGGAAGTCCGGGGGGTGGGGGGATGGGATAAATCATTGTGTAATACTTGTGATGTATTTCTTCTTTTATGATAAAAACAATAAAATTCTATATTGAAAAAAAAAAAAAAAAAAAAGTCTATCTAATTGGTAAAACCCAAAATCAAAAATTCATTTTTTTCCACCTCAAGCACAAAGTCTAGAAGTGGTTTCCATGTAACAATAAAAGTATTTGTATTCTTTTCTTTAATCAATACAGTCAGTTTAGCCATCTCTGCTAGTTCCATCAGTTTTTGCAATCATTCATCCATTATGGGAATCGATGTAGTCTTCCATTTCTGAATGTACAGTAATCTTGCTGCTGTCAACATATATAACATCAAAGTTCCATATATTTTTTCCAGATCCTTGTCCATTAGCCCCAAGAGAAACATCTCTGGTTTTCTTTCTATATTCACTTTAAGAATTTTCTATTAACATATGAATCCTACTCCAATATTTTCTTGCTTTATCACACGTCCACCATAAATGGTAAAAAGACCCCAGCACTGCATGGTCTGATCTTGGAGTGAATTTGCTGTGACGCCCACTCCTGGGAAGATTGACAACTGACTTGAATGTTTTCCACTTGTGAATAATCTTCTTCACTGTAGAGTTATGGATTTTAAATTGTTAGGAAATGGCCAAAGAACCCTTCCCAAATTGATGGGCAGCAATAATTGTTTCTATATGATCAATGCTGATGTCTTTCCTCTTTGACATTGTGTTAGGGTCTAGGACAACTTGGTGCAGCCATCTCAGCACAGATGGAATGGGATGAGATGAGATGAGATCCCTATGGGGTACTTTTTATGGGGTGAGAGATATTGGCTGGTCCAAGAGACCTAGTGATCTTTGTCAATATCCAGATTTTCCCAGCAGTTGCTCATGCCTGGTCTTCATGCGGTTTATCTTTTGGGTTTTGCAGTGTCCATTACAACATCTTCTTTTAAATTGCAGTTGAATGTGTTTCATTTTAATATCCTGTCATTGATTTTCCTAACTCCTTTTCCAATTTACTATTTGCAAGGCAGAATGTCAAAGTAGAAGGTATCTTCTGAACTTTCTGGTACTATATTCAGGGCCTATGACCATATTCCCTATCTCATCCCATCCCATCCCATCCCATCCCATCCCATCCCATCTCATCTTATCATCTTTTCTAATGTCAAAGCTGATTCGGATTTTATCCCTACCTGCAGTTTTCCTCCCAGGATAACAACAGAAATGGAAGGGAGGGGGTGGAATCATTGGAGGGAATTGGGAGGGGCTGAGGAATCAAGCGAGCCAGTTGGGCCCTGTGAAAGTTCCTTCACTTCAAGGTCATTTTATGAGAACTCTTCGAATGGCACAGACTGTTTTCCAAAACACAAAGAAAGCATGCTACATTGGCAGAAAATGGAAAATAGGTGGCCTAAGGGGAAAAAGGGGAAATTTACTTATGCTGCTATCTGTGGGAACCTTTAGAATTGGTTTCACGTCATCTGTACCTATATGGATCTTTCAGTAAAATTATATTCTTGGTAAAATTATGTCCCAGTAGTTTCTTTTTCTGCATATGCTAATGGGACAGTTGACATTAAGCCAATTCTCTTAATGTAACCTAACTGGACCCTACCAGGAGCTCAACAACCTTGAGATGTTGATGGTTGACAAAGAATCAGAGAAAAAGAAGACGCTAGGAGAAATCCCGGCCCAGGAGGCTCCGGTAGCTCAGCAAACTGGAGCAGGAACACATATCCTAAGCAGAGAGATGAGAAACCTATGCAGCAGCCTGCTAGCACAAGGCAATGCCTGAGGGATGCCCCATCCCAGGTACCGAGAACCCACTGGGTGACAAATATGGGCAAGGAGTGCTAGCAGAAGACCCTGTAATCCCTTCAGGGGTCAATGTGGTCTGAGGGAGTAAGTGGAAAGCAAGGTAGCCAGTTGAGTGGGATGAGCCGGCTGAATGGAAGCTGCTGATTGCCACCCACTGCCCCTCAATGGAGTAGCTGAGAGTGAAGTTCATGCAGTTGATAAATGAGGTTCTGCATGAACATCTGTACAAAGGGGTCTTGGTGTACCTGGTGATATACACAGAGACCCCGGAAGAGCATATGAAATTGGCCAGAGTGCTCCTTAAAAAGTCACAAAAGGCTCACTTTTATGCAAAGCTAAGTGTAAATGGAAGGAGACTAAAGTGTATATACCAGGAAGCCAGGGATCATGACACAAGGGTAGCAGGACATTTTGGATTTGTAAAAATTCTCCACCTAGTGAAGAGGTAGTTTTGGTGGCCAAAAAATGAAAAAGGACATGGAGGCGTATGTGGCCA